TGTCGGTGCAGAAACAAATGCAGCACCAGGGATTGCGGAATCAGAAAGCTACGCTAGGCCGTGTGCATTCCTCCAAGCCTCGAAGCAGCATGAGCTGCCACATCTCAAAGCCACAGCAGCCCCGTGCTCCAACTCCAACTAATAGTAGCAGCCTGAAACCCTGTCAGTTTTGCTGCCACAGCTGTCAGCTTAATCACAGCTTCTTCGGAGGAAGATGTCCAACAACCAGTGCATCTGGCAAGCATCCCAGCACTGCGCGAAGACGCTGTCTTTCGCCGGGCTGATTCCTTGTACTTTCGCATGGAAAGTACCCGCAGTTTTCTGCTTTTGCAGGGCAGGCACTTCCTTTCTTGCCGTGGTCGCACAGCTCTTTTTACTTGCAGTGTACTAATACCTGCTGCAAAGCCCCATCAAAGCGGGGGCCGGACCTCAATGCCTTGGCGGAGGTCCAGCTCCTTTTCGGCTATGGGGGTGCCGGATATGCAGCTCGAGTTCTTTCCGCAAGGCAGGGACAGCGCGCTGATTCCGTGTACCGTCTGACCTAGCCAGGGCCAAGGCCTGGCAGAAGGATGTAAACCCTGGCAGTTTCGTCTACCTGCGGTTGATGTTCTGAGAGCTTGAAGACAGAACTCAGGAGGCCAGAACTTGAAAGGTGTTAGGGGGTGGGCTCCAGCGTACATCCTGGTTGCATTCCCAGACCGAACCTGCCAGCGTCCTGAGGGGCAATTGTGTTAGCAGTTTTCCTGACCCGAACAAACTCCGGAAGGATCCCTCAAATGTTGGTAACCAGCCATCTCAATCCTAGACCTCATCCCAGGACGGGAGACGTCTCAGAAGGGCTTCTGTGCCCTCTTTCTTTGGTGCCCTGGCCACCTGAAGCTGAAGTGCGCTCCTGGAATTCAACTCAGGGTCAGCGACGGCAACTCGTTCTACACATGCAGTCTGGTCTGGAGTCTAAAGTACTGTGTAGTCATCTCAAAATTCTACCTCGTCCATCGCCAAAGGCTTGGGACTTGGAGCTCGGCACATCTAAGGATGACGGGGCTTGGAGTTTCGAGATCAGCTAATTTGTGCTTGCCCTTTATGGCCCTTCTTTAGCCAGTCTTTAGTAGCTTGTCCCTGCTTATGGTCTGGTGCCCACCCTATCACGGAATCAGCGTGCTTGGAGCTGCAGGTAGTAGGCATGGACCGCAGTCTCGGAGTCGAAGGCGAAGATCCGAAAGTGGACCAGTGCGGCGCAGGTACCGACTCGAGGTCGGCAGCCACGCCTCGATCGATGAGGATGTCTTCACCAGCCGGTCAACTTCTTAGACTTGCGTGGGCCCAGAGGCTTGCGTTTGGTTGTGCGCTGTGAGTTCTGCGCTCCCTGGGGAGCAGGTCGCCAACATGTGCTTGAGCAAGGGCTGCAATGCATTTGGGGAAGGACTTGGACGAGGTTTGCTCGGTTTCCATTTGCAAGGTCAGTAGCTGTGATGCAGACTTCAGCAAGAAGCTTCGGCAGCCGCAGGCGAGCAGTCATTGTACCAAGGCAAGTATGGAAGCCTCAATGGCTCGAAAATCATCCCGACATCCAAGTGCATAATTCAGAGCACCGAGGATTGGCCACGGCCACTCCAACTTCTGCTTCCTGGAGGCCAGCAGCATCTTGTCACGTTTTCTCTGGGGTTCACTGGGCCGACGCAGGGTTTTGACAGGATTGGATGCCACTTGCAAAACCCAAGCCGGCCGAGAGTCCCAAGTTCGGTGTTGACATTTTCAAGCCTTTTGGCATGTACCGGTTTTCGTGAAATTGCTCGTCCTTGGTATTTCAGCACCCGGAATGGAGAGGGTTTTGGAGTTCGAATCTGTTGCGCTGCCTCGCTCCATGTTGCAAGGCCCTCAAGGGCTGACCCCAAGGGCTGACTTGCCTCGCGGGGATCGCCCGATTTCTGCACGTCCCTGCATCCGGAACCGCCGCACTTCGGCTCCCGCAGGTTCGTCTGTTGAGTCATGGAGGGAAGCGACTACCAAACAGCTTCCGCGTCCCAATGCAGCAGCAGTCGAGACATGTGCTATGCCATCCAGCCACTCTGTCGATTGCAGGTGCTGAAGGTCTTTTTGAAAGTGTTTCGCCAAGCGGTTCGGGACTCATGTGTCGCAACAGCCGCGGAACTTCAACAGCACAGTATCGCCATGCAGCTTTCTAGTTTCCACTTGTCTGGGTAGCAACTTTCGAGGTTTCAGGGCGTAGGAGATTCGGGCTGGCAGTGGCCTCGAGCTTTGCAAGCAGCTGCGTGTGCTTGACCTTGGCGCTGTTGGCTTCAGGAGGCACGAGGGAATGCACTTGTCTGCGTTCGTACCTACGCCCATGCCAGAGTTCCAAGAAGCGGATGTGTGTGTGCGTACATGGTTGCATGCATAATTACATGCATGCATTGTAAATATCTTGACTGTAAAGGCACGCGTATTTTTGCAGCTTTACAGATTATGCATAGACATGTCAGTGCATACATACGTACATACATATGTGCATGTGAACATACCTACCTTACATACATACATACATACATACATACATACATACATGGCTACATGCATGCTTGCACAAGCGCAGACATATAGAAGCATACGTGCATACGCCCACGCAGTTTGGATTCCGGAAATCATAAAGCACCTCACATGCAATATCTACTGTCTGGCTCGCAGATTACAAGATATTTCAGAGAAGTCAAGAACTGCTAGTACTCTAATTCTGTTGGACAGGGAGAAGGCTTTTGATAAAAGTGTCGCAACAGAGAATGCTTGAAGTATTGCGTCGCTTGCAAGTACCAGACACAGTGTCTGAATTCAAAGTACTCTCCGGTAACAATGAATCTGAATGGAAATTTCAATACAATGGCATAAGGCAGGGGATGTCCCTTTTCGCTGTACTTGTTTGTGCTAGTCATGGGAGCTCTGTTCGCAGACATTAAGATGGAACTTTGCACACTAAGACAACTCATTTACTTCTCTGAAGCCGTATTTGCAGACGATACGCTAATCTTTGGAGCTAACATGCAGTGTATTAGCAAGCCATTTGAAAGGCACAGCGCGTAATATGGGTTGAAACTGAACGAGAAATGCATGAATGTTTACAGCAAACCAACGAATTTCATGAGTGCGTTTCTCTCTGGATGGACCAGCTGCGGGAAGACTTGTCCCAAGACAGAGATCAGCCACATACTTAGGCACTTTACTCATGACACATTTGACAATAACGCGGAAATAGCCAATAGATTGGGAGATTGTATAGCGACGTGCAATCGGCTTAAGATCTGTTGGAAAAAGGCTAAGACATCATTCACACAGAAAACCCAAGTGTTTAATGCAATCATAAGATGAAGACTTTTGTATACCTCTTGACTTTAACTGATTAAAGTACCAGGTTCTGTTGGGAGTTCACTGCGCTCGCTAGAGGAAATACATGCACACGCACAGACACACCCACAAAGACGGATTGAGACTGACAAGCATACACAAACAGAGATAGCTAGATGCATGGCAGGTAGATAGTTAGACAGACAGAGCTGCAGATAGATGAAAACAACATGCGCGACGGATAGTACAAGACATAAACGAATACTGAGCACATACTTAGACAATACAAGTATATCACACTCATGCAGACTCTTGCTTGTTGTCTGTCTACCGCATGATCGGCACACTATGTTCTTCCAAGCGCTGAAGGTTCGGAGATCAAGGTTTCTCGAGGTTTCGGGCAGGAGTATTCTTGTCTTGGAGCAATGTTCGGAGCCGGCGCGGGGCTTAGAAAGGATTCTGAAGCCTGAAGCAAGGTTTCCCAGAACTTCCGCAACACACCCGACGGGTTGTGAGCAGTGCTTGCAGGCAACAGCTTGCAGCCACAGAGTGCCCTGCAGAGCTGATTGTCTCATCTGCAGTGTCTCATCCGAACCCTAAACTCGCTGTCGATCTGTGAGTGTGTGCGTGTGTGTGTGTGTCGTTTGTTTGTTTGTCTGTCTGTTTACACAGATTGACAAAATATGCTCCGAACTTGCCTGGCATGATCTGTCTAGTGCAGGCACCATGGGCACAGACCTGAGTCTGAGAATCGCTCCGTGCTACTTTTCTGTTGGATGACCCCGCTGCTCGTGGCTGGTCTGAAGACGCCAGACGTCGGGCTCGTTTTATGCTACACTAATGATTGTCCCCGTCGCGGCATGAAACAGACCGGCCTTGCAGGCATGCCGGGGTGCATTCCGGCTGCAGCAGGACCGCCAGACAAATTGAAGCTTTCGGACTCAAGGGTTTCGGACATCGGATGGAGGCTTCGGCTTCGGTGCAGGATTTCGTCAGGTGTAGGATGGATATTTTGAAAAGATCAATCTCCAACTTGAATTCAACAAAAATTGTGTGAAGGCCTATGTCATCTTGGGCTGTCTTACACCTGGCAGAGCCTTTGATCTTATGCTCCTGACGCCTCAGCCAACTTCCTGCGACCCGTGCTGGATGCAGTTCTTGCAGTCAGCTGTGCTCATACATTTTCGTCCACAGTCGCTCTTGCCGAGGTGCGGTTTGGGATCTTGGGACAATGCTTGCACATAATGTCTGTGAGAGAGAGAGAGAGAGAGAGAGAGAGAGAGAGAGAGAGAGAGAGAGAGAGAGAGAGCGAGGGAGGGAGGGATGACCATATGCCCGGATCATCCTCTGAAACGGCATGCTCAAAGTGTGCCTTGGATGCTAGTTGTCGGGGTTTACCCATTTTATCTGCTGTGTTGCTGAAGTAAGCCTGGAACGCTCAGCAGATGCTCTGCTGAGTCGGAGGCCTCGGTAACCTTTGATAGGTTGTGTAGTTGTGTTCTGTTCGTGCGGGGAGTTCTTCCCTCTGACTGCGATTGCTGGCATGGTGATAGGCAAATTCGCCTTGTCATGCGTGTAGCCTTTCTGGTCCTCATACCAGTAGACGGGCGCCTTGAGTGCGGAGGTGGGGTCGCTCCCAGATTCTTACCTTTTCGTATGAGAGAGGGAGAGAGAGAAAGAGAGTTACTTAAGCCAGTCATTGGTTTTAACCGTCTAGGCTGTAGTCTTGGCCCTTTCAACCTACTATTCGGGTGCATTCCCGGCCAAATGCTCCCGAAAATCATATTCAATGACTCGGGGAGTGTTGCTTCTCCGGGGAAGCGATTGCACATGTACGTATAACCTGTAGATGTAGGGGTGTGTGTGAGTGTGTGTATCTGTACATATACGTATCTGTATCTGTATCTGTATATGTATATGTATATGTAAATGTATATGTACATGTATATGTATGTGTATGTGTATGTGTATAATGCTTGTGCATACATGCATATGTACATGTTGATGCACACATGTGCATGTAAATGTATGAGTACGTGTAGATGTAGGTGTAGATGTATATGTCATACAGGGAACACATTTACTTGTATTGAAGAGGCCACCGCCCCTTCCTCGTTGCGCTTTTAGCAGCTGTCCTTGTGGCCCTTGCGCCCGGGTCCAGGCCATGAGACGGGATGGGAAGATATGGGAGGCTGCAGTGCGAGATTTGGGGTACCGGGCTTCGGGGAGAGTTTCAGGAGATATGAGGGGACACCATGGACACTTGTTTTATGTGCCCTGTTTACCCTCAGGCCGGCCACAGTATTCAGTGAGCTTGGTCAAGCAAACATTTGATCTTGGGCCCGGCCGGGTCCATGATTGCGTGCATATCCTGTTCCCCAACGATTCAAGGCTTGGGGGTGCAAGGTTTGAAGAGCTGAATTGTGGACTCGGAACGAGGTGCGCTCTGTTTGTGTGCGATTGATTGGCTGGCTCTACCAGGGCAGTGCCAGGGCAGCAGAATGCTCCGAAATGACAGAGCTGCTAGTCAGTGGACTTGAATTTGTTTCAGGTCGGAGATATTCTGGCGTGTTGAACTTCGAGGTTTGTGCGTTGACGAAAGTCCAACGGGATCTTGACATGAGGAGAATTAGTGCATACGGGGTCACACAATTTGTCTAAGAAAATGGGCACCATACACCTTCTGTCATGGTTCTTGTGAGCCTATGCTAGTGTCTTCGAGACCCCTGGTGACCTGTCTCCGACCAGGCCACTGGCTTTCCTCTCGCCTGCGCCAGGCCTCCGGTCCAGAGAGGAGAGGGATCTGAACGAAAGAGCGCGCCCCAGACAGAGGCCACAGCTGCGGTACAATCCCAAGACTCTTCTGAACCAGTTGTGGCCCCCCGGGTGAGATGGTGACATTGGCATGTCGTGGCAGGTCAGGGTACGAACCCGTGCCTTTCACGGGCGACATCAGGCCTGGAGAAAGTAAGCTTGCACACAGGCTTTTACGGAGGGGCTTTGTTGGGCAGATGCATTTGGCTAGGTCATGCAGAGGCCTGCATGCTGCAAGCGAAGCTGAAAGTGCTGTCGAAAGATATCTCAAGTTGAAGTAGCAACGAGCAGTGCAATGCATCGTGTGCCTGGTCCCCGCTGCAATCCCGTCCCTCCTCGCTATCCTGGGGATACCGAAGCTATCGAATCCACAGGCTTGGACATTGCAACGGTGCCAACGCTGATGCATGGTGCAACAGGCTCCACGTTTCCGGAACAGGAAGAGCTCTGTGGGGCTGAGCATGCCACCTTCGACATCTTCTTGAGTCACAAGCAGTCCAACGGCCAGGATGCGGTTGCAACCCTGAAGATGCTACTGCTGGAGAGAGAAGAGAGCTTGGCTTGCTGGCTGGACTTGGAGCAAAATCCCACAATGGAAGGAATGCATTCAGGAGTGAAGCACAGCAAGCACTTTCTGCTCTTCTGCACGGAAGGGATATTTGAATCCAAATGGTGCCTAATGGAAATCCGTTGGGCTCTGCAATATGCTTTGCCAATTATTCTGGTAGTGGAGACTCTCGGCTTTGCCATGATAAGCACTTTGAGCCTAGGAAAAGCATCCATACTTGCATACCAGTCCTCCCTGTGCCAGTTGGAAATATGTTGCTTCTGTTCTGCAATTGTTTCGCAACAATTCCAAGGACCGACACCAGACATGGTGCAGTGGCAATGGAAGAGCTAATCAAGAGTGCACCGGAAGACATCCGTGGTCTTTTCGCCAGCAGCGTGGCCATTCCCTGGTACCGTGATCCAGATTTTCGGGGAGTCTCTGTGGGGAAGATCATGGAGAGGCTGGCGATCAGACAGGAAGGTAGGGGTCTCGTGGTGATCTCTGATGGTGACAACAGGGTCGAGATTGTGCACCGCTACTTCCGACGGTTCATGCTGCTCGCGGGAGCACCTTTGCGTCTTCCACCATCTTGGTCCACTGCGGCCAAGGTTGCTTACTGGATTGCGCAGTGGAGTTCCCGGGTGCCTTGTCTCTTTATCTGCATCGCTCGCACGTGGCATGGAAGTGGACCAGCCTACACGGAAGCACATTCGGATATCATTTTCATTCTCGTTCACTTGGAGGTCATCTTCTGTTCCCTGTACCTAAGCAGGCTCATGATGTCACCAAGCCTCATGGCGCTGCTGGAGGGCCTTGGCAAGAATGATGTCTGTGACAAGTTGGGCTCAGCCCTCTGTGCCAGGACCAAGGCATCCGCCTTAGCTGCCCTTGGCAGCACGCTTCCGCCTGGGATACTTTTGGCTCTGCATCTACCCTTGCATTTTCATAGCTTCTACACTGGCCACGCCGCAGAGATGGACGATGCCATCGTTGGATGGCTCTCCGGCATTGCTTTCCTTGGGCTTCTCGTGGTGCCGGGATTTATTTCACTCCAAGGCCTCCTGCCCTTTCAGATGGACTTCCTGGTTCGCGTGGCCACCATCCAGCTCGAAGGCTCCCTTCTGTCACTTCACCCAGGTCAAAGCCTCGAGCAGGCAAAGGCAGTGAAGGAGATGAAGGGTGAACAGATCCTCCGATTCAACAAGGAATGGGAAGATGGAATGCATCAGTATCGACAGATGCAGCAACGACTTATTCCACTTCAGATTCCTCTGTTGTGTGTTGCTCTGGGTGGAATGTCCTTGCCGGCCAGCTTGCTCGTGCGTGGCATCCCAATTGCGAACCCAGAGCAGAAGGACATGCTCTTCTTCTATTTCGTGAAGCTTCTAGTGCCGTATGTGCTGGGCCTTGTTTGCTTCAAGGCCCTTATCGGCCTGCCGCTCGAGACGACATTCCGCCTGAGGTCCCTGAGGTTGCAGTACCTTCGCATGACCTGGACGACGTTGTCTCACCAGTCCTTCTTCAGGCAGGTCCTCTCCGGAACAGACACCGACTGCTACCTCTTCTCCGTGGTGCCAGCAAACACCTGGGTCGCCTTCGCAGGTGTGGCGTTGGTGCTATCGAGCGCCTACCCACTGACTCGACCGGAGCTCTGGGCATGAGGCATGGGCTGTGTCTATCGATTTGCTTCATGGGAATGCGTGCATTCCGGAGGCCAATGTTTCTGTAAATCGCAGCCTTGCCCTGCACCTTCAGGGGAATGCTTGTCTCATCGGTGGTGGATCCCGCCCCCGACAAATCCGCTTTTTGTTGAATTGTTGAATACTGTCTCGCTAGCCGCTTTTCCAAAAATCATCTCGTCGGAGATGTTTGCAGGCGGTGGAAACTCCCTTGCTGTTCAGAAATCTTCCCACCGTAGGTGAATCTGATTCTGAACGCTGGAGTAAAACGCACCAAGAGCTTCTGCCTCCGGTATCGCGAGTCATGGGTTTCTACGAACTCCAACCAAAGCTTCCCCACCCGAAGCTGTCAAGTTCCAACGCCCCGTCACGTCGCGCTCCTGCACTTCTCTCCCGAAAGTCCACATCCAGGTCCAGTCTTCACCGCAATCGGGGCCCAAAAAGGGCACACGGCAGCCTTGGCCGTGGCAGTGGCAGGTTGCCTTACACTGGGCAGGCCGGAAAAGCCTTGAATCATTCTGTCTTCAGTCTTTGTGGGTCTTTGGGTCTTTGCTTGAGCCATTGTCACTTCCGGGGCCAGCATGCGGGGCTGCAGCTTGGCCTTCTCAGTCGTGCCGGCGTTGGGCTATGCTTGCTGATGGTTCGGTGGAATACCAAGTTCTGCAGTGCCTAGCACCTTGGGCAGCAGGGCTCACATTTAGTCAATGACTTTTCACAGTTTGGGATCAAGGTGGACAGCTCATCGACTCATCAGCCGTTTAGGTTTCTGCAAGGGGGTCACCCGCCCAGATCGCACAAGGACAAGCTTCAAACGAAAGGAATGCTGCAAGCCAAAGAGGCAGCTTTCTCGTGGGGTCCGAGTGCAGCGGCGTGCAGAGGCGGAAGACTGCAGAGATTCGGAGGGCTTTGATTGGCGCCTTTGGATTCGGCCCGGCTGCAAGTGAAGAAGGCTGACGGTTCGCTGGAGTCTTGATACTGATTTCGCGGGCGGCGGGGGAGGGGATGAAGAAAGTGGGGAAACAGGGAATTTCTGTGGGAAACTCTCGGCCGGGGCCGAGGCGAGTTTTGCATTGTTTGGTTCTGCAAGTCTACAACGGTTTATGTACGACTGATGGATTCCAATGCAAGTTTTGACCCAGAAGCCGGCTGAATAGAGCTCTGTAGTTGGAGATCCCCAATGCAGGCAGCCATTGTTTGTGTGGACAACTCTGAACCAAGATCCTTTGTAGACGTAGGTACATATATGTGGTCGCCCCCCCCGTTGACAGACCATGACCTTTCAAGTGAGTCGTAGTGCGTGGTCTGTCATCGGATGGGTGACAATCAGCCCTCCCAAAATCAATTCAACAAACTGCAAGATTCTCGCACCTACCTTTTCGGATTTCCAAAATTTCCAAAAAAGGCCAGAATTTCCAAAGATTCCAAACCTTGCAAAATTTCCAAAAATTCCAAACCTTCCAACAATTCCAAATTTCCAAAAAGTTCGCCCTTATGTTTTGGAAACATCCTATCCACTGGGTCTGGGGGGTTTGGAAAATGTTTGATTTTTTTTTTGGTAAATTTCGGAAATTTTGGATTTGTGGACTTTTTTTTGGAAAACTTGATTTTTTTTAACATTTTGGATTTTTTTTAAAGAAATTTTGGAATTGATTCTCTGGAGGACTGCTTGTGACCCATCCGATGACAGACCATGCACCACGACTCACTTGCAAAGGCAATGTCTGTCTACGTTACAGATTATGGTCGGGTGTAGTGTGTTTAGATACAATATCATCTCAGCCGAGTCACCTGCCAAGAGTACACTGCCACAAGGCCATGGTCTGTCAACCAGGGGGGGGGGGGGGGGGTGCATATGATATATATATATATACATATATATATATATATATATATATCTATGTAAATGTACATATGTATATATGCATGCATGCATGCATGCATGTATGTATTTGTTTATGTATGTATATGTATACAAATATGTATATATAGATATATGTATGTATCTATGTATGTACGTACTTATGTATGCATGTATATATGTATATATGTATATATGTATGTATGTATATATGTATGGATATATGTATGGATATATGTATATATGTATATACGTATATATGTATATATGTATATATGTATATATGTATATATGTATATATGTATATATGTATCTATGTATATATGTATACATGTATATATATGTATATGTGTGCATATATATATATATATGTATATGTATATATGTATGTATGTATGTATGTATGTATGTATGTATGTATGTATGTATGTATGTATGTATATGTGTATATATGAAAAAGTGTATATGCATATAAGAATGTGCCTGTATGTTTATGTATGTATATGATTTTATGTGGATATATGTATGTAAATGCATATATGTATGTACATGCATATATGTATGTATGGATGGATGCACGGCTGTACGGCTGTATGGATGTACGGATGCATGTATGCATGCATGCATGGATGGACGGATGGATGGATGTATGTATGTATGTATGGATGTATGTATGGATGTATGTATAGGTGTACATGTACATGTTCATATGTGTATATGTATATATACATATATATATATATATATAGGACATGTTTGTATATGCATGTGCGCATGCGCAATACATAGACAGGGCAGGTTTGTGCTTGACCAAGTTCTGCGCTCGAAATGCTGCACAGTGAGTATTCAACAAGAAGGTGCGATATTGCATTGTGCAGTTTAGCTTCTGCGCTGCCCCACCTAGAACTCCAAATGTTGCGTCAAATGTTGCTCAGCTGTATACTTGCCCGAATCCCACAAAAGACTAGCTGCCTTCTGCCACCATTGGCTGGCACCTCGTAGCTCGTCCCCATCTGGTGGTCCTCGATGGCCCCACGGTAAATTGTCACGCATATTCCGCTGTGCTACGTGCTACAGCTTGCTTCACCCGCAGACCCTGCAATTGTCAGGAGGCGGAGCCGCACCTGGAGCCCTCTGAGTGCCTTGCACGGCAGTTTTTCTGCTTCGTTTGGAGACACATGGGGTTTGGGGGTTTGACTCTAGATCTCGGGTTTGCGGTTACTCTTTAACTCCCGCCACCGCTCGAAGCGCCCTCCTCCCATCTGTGGCTTTTTCGTGAGCTTAAGCACCGGTTCAGGAAGTCTATTGAGACAATGATGAAGTTCTCCAATCAGTATGCCAAGGCTGGAGCGGCTGAAGAGTTTAGGCACCCGTTGACAGATCAACCGCCGTCACTGCAGCAGTCATTCGTACGTCTCATGGCCTGTTTTTTGGGGCTTGATCTTCGAAGCGAGCGGCCTACTTGTTGCACCGAAATGACTGTGTCCGGGTTCAGCTTGACAGGTTCGAGCCTTGGCCGCCTTGGCCTTCTTTCCTCATAGCTTCTGAAACTGCGTGTAGGTTGTTGCTGGTCACCTCTGTACGGCTACCAAATGATTCCACAGTTGTGTGCTCCCCTTACAGGTCACGGGCACGAAGTACTGTGAGGATAAGAGTGTTCCGGCCGTGGTCATTGTCGGCCTGGCCTTGCACAAGGAGCTGCATTCGAGCTTTGTACTCACAACTGGGATGACTGGCTTGCCCGAAGCCCGAGAGAACCTTCGTGCAGGTTTGAGAAAGATGCTGAGAGGTATTTTGCGATATCTTGTGTTGCTCCAATATTCTGGCGTGAGTAGGTGCCGGCAGATTAGCCTGTACCATGGGCGGAAATCGCAAGTGCCGGTTGCTGGTCTGAAACGTTTGCCAAGACTCGACTTAGGATTGTAGCTCACGAAGATTCGTTCGTGTGAGGAGGAGATGCAAGACATGACAACAGACCGACTGAGAACGGAATTGGGACTCTAGTGTTGAACTCTGGCGAAACCTGACCCTTGGCAGAAAACTTTTAGGAGACCTTGGGCGCTCCACTCTGCCCTTGCCGGCACTATGAGGACAAGGAGAAAGAGGCCAGGCCAGCTTAGCAGCTTAGGTGTTCACGGGTAAATTGTGTGTGTGTGTGTGACCTGATGCCATTGCACTCCCGCTTCAGGGAACAGGGGCTTGCTTCCATGGTGGCAGCTAAACCCAGAGGCTGCCGTAGAGTCTTTTGCCCAACGTCCAGAAACAGGCAAAAGTACTTATTCTGCTCGCTGTGGCTTGTTTTCCCTCGTCTTCCTGTTCCATGCAGTTGTTGATTGCAACTTGCGACCCCCAAGGGCTACCGCGAGAATCCGATAGACGGCTGCATGCATCGCCAGCTTTGAAGACAACGAAGTTTTTGTTGGCCGGTTGGCACATGCAGACTGCAATGCAGATCATACCAGCGGACAAGCAGCTTTGTCTCCAGGTAAAGGATGGGTACTGGAACTGTCCATGCGTGGGTGGCTGAGTTGTGGAGCAGTGCTCGCCGGACATGGATTTGGGTTCGGTGCGTTGCTTGGGGTTCCGCTAGCTTGTCTTTGGCCAAATCCAACATATTCAGGGTTGTGTGCCAAGCTCTGGGGGCTTTGTATTGCATGTTGAGTAATCGCACCAAGTTTGCAATCTAATCTAAGGGTCAATGTCATTGCGCCCAGGTTCCAATGCGCGAAAGGCACGAGTGTCACTGCATGCTCTTCCTGAAGGATGACAATCCGTTCGCGCAAGGGACCAAGACACGGGTCCTGATTTGCTGAAGAGCGACGGGCTGCTGTATCGTGTTCGGGCTTCGGCTAAGATACACAGATATAAGCAGCTCCGTTCCAGCTTGCCCAGTCAGTCTTCGCCGGCGAGTCTACGGTCAGGTCTGAGTGCTCCAATATCGATCTGGAGGAGATCATGAAGCTGAAGGATGGTTAGAGCGCTGGTGAAAGGTTTCCCTGCTTCTGGAGGAGTTTCATAGCAGTTACAGTAGGGTACGGTGTAAAGGCCTCCATCTCTGAGACAGGATTCCGTAGTTGCGATGCTACTCCGGAAGCCACCCGAAGCCATGTCGTGATCGTTTGGTCGACTACAAGTTTCTGCTGCAATTTTCAAAGGGAGGGCCATGATTCGGCTCGTTGTGACAGCTGGTTCCACCTGTTCCGTCCTGGGAATCACGTGTTCGGGATGTTGGCAGGGCCGCGGCCTTTGAATTTTCTGCTGAATGTCCACTCCCGGCAGACCAACGGCAGAAGTCTGTGAATAGCACAGCGACTCGTGAGTGGTCGTGAGGAGCAAGCCTTGGCTTCAAGCGAACTGATCTTAAAGCTTTACTGACTATGAGCCAGCTCATTAAGGGTCCCAGTCTACCTGGCCAACCCGAAGTCAGAAGCCACGCGTGACTGTGGGTAAGTAAGCGCAGTTTGCCTCGCGCTCGCTCGACTCCACACCGAGTTTGAGACTTTGAGATGAAAACGTGCCCTACAGGGCTGGCAATACCCGTATCTTGCCACTCGACTCTCGGGAGCAGCAGCTTCAAGTGCCAACCGCTTATCCCAGCTCCAAACTGATGTCTAGACGTCTGGCCCCGTCAATTGTCATTGCGAGCTTGCCAGCGGCTGCCCAGCTAAACGGCGGCGCAGTTCCGAGGAAGTTCAATGCCTGGTGTAAGCTGCTACATACCCCAAGCAACGCAACACCTCGTCCAGTGACTCGCTTCCATTACACCTAGCTTTAAGCACGAAGTAGACGCTGCCTTCGAGCCAGCTGTCCCTGGGAGTAGGGGGCCACCGCCGGCGGAGCAAAAAGCATGGTGCTTCGGCATTCGAAAGCAAGATCATGGTCCTTTCCTTGAGGCTAAGCCCTGATCCCAAGAGACTTGCCCGAGGCCTGTCATGTCCCTGCAAAGCATGCCAGGAGAACCTTCGGCCTGGGCCCTCCCCCTGCTCTCTAAGTGTCAACTGCCGACAAACGGTGTCGAAGTAATGTGCATCTGTCAAGAACTTAGTCCTTACCTCGCATTGTTCGGGTTTGCTGTCCAGGTTTCTGTTGTTGCAGGACACAGCTCAGCGACGGACACGTGGAACCCACTGCAGGAAGAAAGCCTACTCTCCTCGTTCGTGCACAAGAGAAAGAGGGAGCTCGTGAATGGTTGCCGGTGTTTCTGTCCTGTCGATACAGGCCCAGATTGACGACAAAGATTGCCTCGTCATTGGTGCGGCTGGCGAGACTTGGGAACTGCTGGAGAGACGCGTTCTGCAAGTCATGTGAAGGTTCGAGCTGAAGGTGTAGGCACGCTGCGAGATTTTGAGACATTTGCTCGAGAAACACAAGTCCCACGCAAAGGCACGGCGAGTATATGAGCATGTGCCCGAATCGGGAAAGCACCGAAGCAAACGAAGCCTCACCCAAGAAGCGGGGAGGTTCTCAGTCCTTTCAACGAATGTCAACGTAATGTGTAGCGAGCCTTGCTGGGACGAGACTTGACCTTGGTTGATGCTGTGGAAGAATCACGCTAGAACTAAGGCAGATCATAGGCGGTGACCCACCGTCTCATTCACTCACGACACGCAACCTCGATGCCAGGCCTGGAGATTCTGGAGGTGCGTGGGCGGGTGTGATGGGTCCAGGCAACTACTAGCTAGAAACGACAGCTTCCAGGTTCGCACTGCCTATTTCACCATTGGGCGGAGAGATAGGAATGCCAGCTCAAGATCGAGCCTCCCAGATCCACCGCAGGTGACCTGGACGCAGGACTTGGGTCAAGGGCTGAGGCCGGAAGAATAGGGACGGTCAAACGGGATTCTGGAACCTTGTGTCCAAGCTATAGTCACACCCTTGTCTCTTCCATTTTGAGTTGGGATTGTCCATCTTCGCGCCTTGAAGCCTTGAACTACAGGAAGTTCAGTCCTTTACCGTCAAGGCTCCGTGTCAACCTTGAGCTGCTCAGCGTATCTGTGCAGGCTCGTCAACAGAGGGCCCGTGGACGCTGTGAAGCGCGAGGCCGCTTGCAGAATGCTCCGACGTCTGAAATGCAAAGAGCGAAGTTTTGGAATCTATGGCCGAAGATGGCTAAGATGTTAGAGGAAATCTCTCGGTGACTTACTGCGGCCTGGTAGACAGCTGTGCGGTCTCGTGTTTGGGGTTATGATATGCAGCTGTATGAACAGCGGGCGCCATGCAGCCGGATTCAAGCCAGCCAAGCGCCAGTAAGGAAATTCAGGCGCTTTTCTTTTCTCCCGCCAGAACAGTAGCCCTGCATAAGCTTCTCCTACATGGGTTAATCGGAAGTAGCTTCCAGAGGCAGAAGCCTCCCACAACCCATTTGTTCTGGAGCACTCTCGTATCATAGGGTGATTACCTTCTTTGCTTACAGTGCCGCAAGTTGATCGTTTTGGGTCAGCGGCTGCATGACATCAGCAGCTACCATGTTGCAATACTGGCGGTGTGACCCCTTTTTGGCAAACTCCTCCTGCGGGCATGCATGAAGCTCCAGCACAGAAGCCTTTTTGATCAGGCTGTAGTGCTCCACCACCGCGATAGAGAATCAGCTCCCTGGCAAGCCATGTTGGAGTGGGTGACGACCCTGAATATCCCTACAGCAGCTCGCAATCAGGCCCGATCCAGTGTTTCGAAAAGCAGAAACGGGTTTTGATGCTCCCGTGCGGTCTCAGCCTTGCTAACTGAGGTTGAGTGGAAGATTTCAAACATCCGACGGCGCATCCAGGAGGCAGTGGTACGTGGCCTACTACCATTCAGCTGGCTTCTTATAGCAACGGCAGCAAGGGTATAGAGCTGTGGAGAAAGACCAGCTTCGGAGTCTCAGTCGTGATCACAGACCGAAACATCCTACATTGCTGGATACTGGTTGGGGGGCTCGGTTATCGAACAGAACCTGAAACCCAATGCAAGTTCCACAGCCCACCAACTCCAAAGCCGCCTCCAGTTGCCTATGGGCGCCTGCATGTGCAGCCCTCTCTTCTCCGCCGCCGGTGTGCGGGACATGCACCTGGAGCATACCTGTCATCAATTGGGGTTTGGGGCTTTACGTTGTACCCTTGCATGCCGACTTGGTCTGGATCACTTCAGCTGGCCTCGAAACCACGAATAAGCATTGGGGTCTTGGCGATGTGGCCCCTCGTGAGCTGCTTCAGGATTACCCAGAATTGACTCACCTCAAAACTATTGCAGTGTTCCTTGCGGTTTTGAGACGAAGCTAGTTTTCTGCGTCAGCGTTCTGATCCCCCCTTTCCCCTGCGTGGTATCCCTCTCCACGTGCCGGCCTTGGCAGGCACGCCGTGCTAGCCTTGATGCACCCTGCCCTTCCCACGTAAATATTTGACCTCGCAAGCAGACGATTTAAGCTAGCCGTGCCTGCAATCCACCGAAACTCCCAGCCAGCGCCAAAAGCAGATCAATCCACCGCATGCGCAAAAGCGAGCGACGCAACCGAGATGCAAATAGGACGGTACGGCAATGTGTGCTGCGCCGGATGCACACGTAGATCTAGCTCGGCGGACAACTTTGGTTTTGAAACCTCAGTGTTGCAGATACGTCCGAGCTGAAGGTCAGACTCACATTGGGGCTACAGCTAGCCACCGCGTCAGCACGTGTCAGGTTCTATCCGAACGGCCTGGAGGGGAGCAAAGAAGGGTATTGTGGCTTCTATGTGAGGCGGGATCGGACCCTATACGAGTTGTAATCCAACTGCCGACATCACATCATCAATCGGTTTCCGAAGCAGGAGCCAGGGTTCTTAATCCCGGCACACATGCTTCTGAGGGCTCTGAAGCCCCAGGCGCAGAAGTAGGGTTTGTGAAGACCTCTGCCTGGATGCAAGGCTTGCAGGCTGATCTTTGGGACGTTAAAGTTGTGTGCATCGAGCTGAAAGCTGTTCTGCAAAGTGCTCGAAGCGCTGGATGTTGGCATATGACAACCTGTAGACAGGTGTCCTACTGGCGAGTATACGCTGAACATCACCCTCTTCGTTGGCACCGCCAGACGGGTCCCGACCTTAGTCATTGAGATTTGCTTCTGACTACTGCCTTTGCTAATGTGCTATGTGCAGGCAATGCAGGCGCTCACAGGGCGGTTAAGAATTTCTGAAACCCCAGCCTTCAAGCAGCAAGCCGTTGGTCCGGAAGTCCCCAGCAACACCAAACACATAAGCCGCCGGCGTCACCAAGGCGCTTTTGGATGTTCCGTGTTGCGGTTTCTACGTGCTACTGCTGTTCGGGCAATCGCCTTTATGATGATAGGTTCATAGCTGTGATCTTTGCTGCACCACCAAATATGCTGCAAGTATCGTGTTGATGGATCTCTTCAAGAGCCCTGGAGGAGGGAAGGAGGGAGGGAGCTCCTGTTCACTCAGGGGCCGAGCAAGACGGAATTCAACGGCAATGCTGCCAAAGGTTTGCCAGGGCCTTGGAGAGCCCCTCGGAGAGCCCTCCGAAAAGAAGCACCTGAAGTCCCAAATCGACGGGCGAATGCACTGTACATGCCTTGTTCCGTCTATGCAGACTTGGCGAAAAATCTGTATTGCGAGCCACAACCTACTACTAGTCTGCTTTCTTCCGAACTCTGCGCTCGGACCTCCGAGTCTAGACTCTATAGACCATCCGGAAGCCTTGCAAGGGTTCTGGCTTTGTGGGGTTGGGGATAAAACCTTTCGACCCGGACTCCCGCACTCCGCGCTCCTCTGATTTCCGGGTCTTGGATTTGAGCGATTTTGCGCAATGTGCTGAACAAGCAGCAGTCTGATTCCTGTCCGAACCCAACCCGTTCCAGTACGTTTTGCCTTCATGAAGCCTGCAAGATCTGTCAGCGACCAAGGCTCAGAGCACCGGGCGAACCATCCTATCACTTTCGAAAGCCTTCATGTTTGACATCGGCTTAATTACTTCATCATCGACTGGTGCAATTCACCCTGGGTCTCACATGCAGGGCCTGGCCGTCGTGCCAGCTACTGTAGCACTAGAGTTAGAGCATAATAAACCTTTTTGACTTGGAGTCGGTTGCAGCTGGCAAGGCTGGCAGGAGTCAGAGTGTCGATGTGCCTTCCATAAGAAACCAACGGCCGTGAAGGTTCGGCCAAGTTCGGCGCACTTCTTCACTGTACATCCATGGACACCGTCATATAAAGCATCCTTCGCAGGACCGCAGCATCCGAAAACTTGAGCTGAGCCCGATCCTTCCCAGGCCCGAGTTCTGCCGGCTCGACGAGCAGCTTGTGGACGGGGAGGCCGGCGGCTGGCGGCTGCAGATTTTGAAGAGCCGGTTCAGAACTTGTCTTCGTTCCAACAGTACCTGAGCCGTTCAAATGCAGATGCACTCCTTAGTTGGCTTCGCGACATGAGATGCTTTATGCCCACCGCCAGGAAGATCTCATTGCTGGCATTGTCCTCCAGAACCCATTGCAGGACTGTGCCAGAGCCACGCGAACCCCGAAACTGCGAACCGAAGCGGTTTCCTGACACACCGCAAGGGCATGTCTCTCTCATGGCCAGCTGAGCTTAAGAATCACAACTTCGAGCTCTAATCCTTGTTGCAGGAGCAGGAAGAAGACGAGCGAACTTTGTACCTGTGATCTGGTGGGTTGGGGAAAAGAAGCTGTGTGTGCTGCATCTGCAGTCAGGCAAGTCGGTAGATAAAATGATAGCAGGCACCAGCAGGTCAGTCCGGGCAAGCGTGCATCTGCAAATCTTCATGGCACCAATTGAACTCAGAAGAGATGGTGCAGTACTCCAAACCCGATCGTCTCAAGCATGTTCAAGAAGTTTCATGTTGCTGGCGATAATCCTCTGTGTTTCCTTGTCTTCACACGAGCTGCCATGTTCGAACGGTTACGTGAGTCCAAAGACCTGAGCCAATGTGCAAATCTATGCGTTTGCAGTAATCGTGGTAGGAGCTTCCCATGGGTAGGAAAATCCATACATTGATTCGGACTCATCATCAGGGTGTTATTGTTTCGCACTGGTTGGGTCTCGATGCGGCAGCACGCCAGACCTGCAGCTTGACAGCAGGTGTTCTGCATCCCTACAAACAGTGAGGCTACAACCTGGCATCTTGAAGTCGCCGAGAGACCTAAAGGCCCACCGATGTATTTGGCCCCACTGAGCCTCCAAAACCTTCAACCATGGTGGGTTCGTGATCCACGACACCAAGCTCCCTCATGCTGCGCTTTTGGCATCTCCTCTGGCTGCCACTAGCGAACAGCCAAGGCCCGAGCTCTCGTTGATTTTGGGAGTCGTGGAAAACTTCATGGGCGGATGCGCCAAATTTCTGGAACCTCGGTTTTTCAACCTTCTGTGCAAGCGGAGGCGTCATGCTAGCCCACCAGAGTTGTCGAAGCGTCCTCGCCATCGATCAGAAGTGCTATGCGTTAGCTGCAATTGTGGAGGTGCTCTGCAATGGCTCAATTGTCATGGGCCGCCCTTCAAGCCTGCTTGGGCATCACTGCAGGCCCGAAAGGGTGTAGGCAGCTTTCGGGCTGGAGTTTGGCAGCCGTGCAGGAACTTGAGTGCAGCTTTCGGCCGGCGTTTCTGGGGTGTTTGAGATCGATCCTTCGGTCTTGCGAGATGCAAGTTTACCCCCTTTACTGCTGCCCCTATTTGTGTTACCACTGCTGGTCAAGGCGACACTCCTGGAGCTGCTGCAGCGCCAGCCAGATCTGCTGATGACAGTGACTCAGGGACTGCGTTTGAAGCTTGTCTCGAGCACCTGTGGCAGAGCACCTGATACGATCGGATACGGCTTGAGACTTGAAGCATCTTGAAGCATTGAAAGCACCCAGTTGTGGTCGCCTGGCCGTATAAGGATCGGACGGCCACTGCCGCCTGCAGTCGTAATGCTGGTGGAGGTCGGGCTTCCTGTGAATGCCGTTCATGAGTCCATGAGCAGAGCAGGTCTGTGTTGCTGAATATGGTATGTGCTCCAGAACGATCAAAGCTGTTCCATGCCCTCCACGCCGACGTACTTCTGTATTGGAGCACTTGATTGCCCGTGGAATATGCATACTAATACCTACGTTCCTGTAGCATGATAGTCCTGAGGCAGAAACTCTCAGCCGGTGATGCAACAAAGCCCCGGCAGGAGCTGGAACCAATGTGCCAGGCACGCAAGGACAGCCCCTTGTTAAGATCGAAGCTGTGTGGTTGTGTCCCAAAGTCCTAAAGCCAACTATTCTACAATAAGTAGACCGATTCCAAAAACATGTGCTAGTTTGAGGCTCATTGGATGGATGAACAAATCATTTTATGCCTGCCCGCATGACTGTACTGAAACTTACACGTAGTACGATTTCACGACATTCATGCACTTCGTCACGCTAGATGGGAGAAGACAGCCTCCCGGCAAGCATCGGTTCAGAGGAACCCCACGTCAACCACAAGCAGCCGCCGTTTGTTCATGAACCCTCAGCCTGCACAAGCGTTGCAGAGCGTAACACCCTAAGCGAACCTGCACATCTTACTCAATGCTCCCTGATTCCCTACCCCGTAACCTGCGAAACCCACAACCTGGACTTGAACTATCGGGCCCAATCCGGACAAACTATTACGTAACCCCTCTGCACCCCGGAAGCCCCCCCAAACCCCATTATTTCGTTCACTGTTTACCAAACAGCTACAGTACCCCAGATGGAACGATGACGAGGACGTGGCAGCGCTACTGGCTTGGACAGGTGGGACCTTGTCAAGGGCTTTGGGGGTTGGATTTGAGATGCGTGGGGCTAGCTTTTGGGTGGTTTCTGGACAAACCGGTGTTCCGGAAGTTTGGGCATGGAGGAACAGTCTTGCAGCGAGTCGACACGATTCCTGCCTGGACCTTTACAAAGCTGAGATATCCCAGGGCCGAAGCGCATACCCCAATCACGTCGCTCATAAGGCGAGAAGCCCGAGACAGACTACGAGGCACGGCTTCGCACCTGCTTCGATGTTGGGACTTGCAGAGCTTCAGGCTTACCGCTGATGGATTCTGGCGTTCTCTCAAGCGTTTTCGACGTTGGCTGGTGACTTGCGTTTGTGGATGCAAATGGCCCGTTTGTTTCTACATTTCTTGAACCGTGTGTTCGCAGATTCCTATGTCGGCTCGTCTTACTGAGCTGAAGCCCCCAACCTTTGACAACTCCTCGGTAGGCCATGGGTTCCCTTCGCTGGTGGATCAACGCGTCCTTCGAGGTCGAAGGAGTCGAAGGCCCTGAGACAACCGCACAATGGCACACGATCTATTCACTCAAATTTGCTGGCGATTGCTCTGGAAAGAACAAAACAATTGTCGATGTTTCAGTCAGACAGGCATGGGTCAGGGTCGAGAATAAGTTGCGGGATGAAGTGAAGTTCAGCATCGCGAGGCACGCCGCTCACGGACATTTTGTGAGTTCGGGCAAATTCCAAGGCTAATGCCACTGACTTACTGTACTGTGCCATGCTTGACCTTGGTTTCCAGAGTGGTGATCCAGGGTAGATCATGAACAACTGCCGATTGGCCCATGGGCAATTGGGACGCAGACTCGATGATGCCAGGAAATGGGTTTTGCCTCTACGGCTGCGTCACCGTGCTTTTCCTCCTGGCACCTTTGGATTCATTATTTCTGCTGTACCTTCATAGCATTTCATAGCAGTTTCCTTTGACAAAGCCGTCCAGCGGGAGATCATCGTGCAAATGCGGTGTTAGCGGTAGTTGCATTCGCGACAGCCTCCGGACACGCCACCCTCTAGACTCCATGCTGTGAACTGCGCACCGCCAATGTGTATTCTTGTCCACTAAGAACGGACCCTGCTGCACCTGGCTTGTCAAAAGTTCACGCTTTTTCAGCAAACCCTGGCCGAATCGATCCTGAAGCTAGCCTGCCGACTGCTGCAGGCCTTCAACGAGTTGTCGTGGCTACTCATCTCGCCAGAAGAGCCCTCGGTGGCCACAGCTGAGAAGAGCATGCAGGACCTCCGTGAGTAAGACATGAAGAGCCCTCGATTTGACTCCCAATGCCAGATCAACTTGAGCTTCATTCGGTCTCTACAGTGGCTGCTAACATAGGACCAGAGTTGTATACATCCGGAGCACACCCCTGAACTCTTCAAATTTAGCGGTCGTCATCAGCCCTTGACGCAGTACATCTTCATGTCTCTGCATCTTTCGCGTTCGCTTCTTGGCGACCACTCCACGCTGGATCTCCTCTCGAGCAGCGCGGCATGATCTTGCTTTCTCGCTTTGGGCTTTGGATTGGGGCAGCTTTGTCATCTGGGTCCGGCATGTAGGGTTCATGCTGGGGTAAGGTTGTTGACAAAGAAAGGATACGGTGACACCAAGTGTCCTTCGATGCAGATGTAGATGTCACAGTTCAGGGTTGCGGTCGGAAAGTCCTGGGCAAGAAAAATCCCAGCCGGTTGATACATCGCCTGCAACCATGTGTGCCGTGCCGAGAGTCCGATAGTCTTTCGTCAAGACATGTCAAGACGTTATGTCTGCTTGTGCAATAAACCGTGTATACACCTACCTCTCTGTGTGTGTATGTGCGCGTGTGTGTTTGTCTGCATATGCATTTACTTGTTGTATTTGTCTCCTGTCTCAGGCGCACGCTACAAGCTTCCTTTACATGAGGGGTGAAGTGGCGGCCCTCCAACATCAGATCTTTCCCTATGGACGATGGGCTATTTGCAGGCAGCCTTAAACTGGAGCAGCAGGCGGCTGAAAAGAACCTACTCTTAAGGCATTTTTTCCAGTGTCGGTCGTTGCTGTCGTCAGAGCAGCCCGGCAGTGGATAGCAGAGGCACGGGTCCTCGTCGCCGATACGCACAAGTCTAAGGACAATCGCAACAAGACAGCGGAATAGTTGGCCCTGAGCACAGTGCATCACCAGGTAGTGCGTGGCCACCGCGTCTCCCGAACTGGACAATGGAGGTCTTTGAGAGGGCCGAGGCGCACGCTGATGGCTCCAAAGACCCCTCCATTCGGGCCTTGTCACTTTGTCTTGGGGTTCGGGGCCTTCAGGGTTGGTGGTGTCAGATAATTTTGCCGGTTGCCGTTATCGTTTTCAATGTTGGATCATGGCATTCGCATGTATGCTGTACCGGGGTTTCTGGTTGCTGCCGTGGCAGGGACGGTCGGATTCTCCGTCTTCTAGGGCCGTATCACAGTGTGATCGATGCCATGGTCAACACCGTTTTTTGAGAGCTTGGGGCTTTGAGGCTTCGGCAACTAAGCTTCCAGCTTGAGTCTGGTGTGGCCAGGGCAGGAGTCCATTGCGAGGTGACCAGGTCCAGCTCATAGATCGTGAGGGACAACGTTGCAGGTTCAACTCGGCGTTGAAACTCAACTGTATTTTCCAAAGCCTTCACGACTCTCGCATCCGCTGCAGGGCTTTGTGATTTTAGTTTAGGTGGTGGCATGGCAATATTGGTCTTGGCATACACCGCATCAAGTCTCTGTGTGTGCGTGTGATGGAATTGGACAGGTACTGATTGGAGGCTGGACGGGCTTGTTGGCTGCTATCTAGATATGTCTGTCTGGATGAGCTGGCGCCATAATCGAGCTTCGCAGGAAGAGCCTTGCCCCTCGCCACGGAGTGGAACCAACAGAGTCTCGACATAAGCCTCTGCACATGGAGGTTCGCAGCCAGTTCAAGAGACAGGGCCTCGGAGGAACTTCCAATCTGCCGCTGTTTCGCTGCAAGGTGCAGCCGTAGTGCCGCGCAGTACTCCAAACACTGGTCTTTATCTTCAGTCACGTCGTTTTTCCTGCATGTTCACACTGTGCAGTCTGTGCAACATTGCTCCGCCACAGAGAAGCTAACATCAGCATATTACCACCGCTGATCGTTGAAGCAGAAGGTGTTTCCGAACATTGCACATTTCCTTCACACTGAGACTCAGTACGGTTTGGGATGTCATGATCTTCTTGTTCGTGAAGAACCAGCGGCAGGCGGTAGCATCAGACGTTCGAGGACTCACATGCCACTGTGGAAGTATCCAGAAAATTTAGAAATGACCGGTGCAAGTAGTGAGGTGGCAGTTGATTGCGCGCAAAACCGTCCCTCAGCAATTCGACGTCAGCATCACCCGGTACTGGATGCTGGTGCACAGAGGTCGCCTCACGAAGGCTCTGCGATTTCGCTGGCGCGGCGGTGGCAGCCCTGTGACCCCCTTCGCCAGGCGCGACAGCATACGGACTTTATGGGTCTGCTTGATGGGATCAGACTCGTGAGCGTTCAGGCCGCCAAGCGGGATTCAGCCTACGTGTAGCTAATTGCCTTGATTCGAGGTGTGGAAGCATTCATGTAGCGGCCCCAGGCAGTACGTACATTCCGAGACGAGAAGAGTGCAGAAGCCGGGTGTTAGGAATGGCCTCCGTCAATGCCAGCAGGTCCTCAACTGAGAGCTCCTGTCAACCCGTTTCATGGACCTCGTAGGAATCCTCTGAGCTGGGTCCATTCTGGTCGGCTGCGCAGGTGTGCAGCGCCCCAAGCCCTGCAGGAAGGGGAGGGCAAGAGGGGAGGGATCCCGAACCCGACTTTTCGATCGAAGCGTCTAAGACAGCCGAGTCTACGATATGTAGTCGAAGCAAGGATTGAGGACGAAGATGCAGTGCTTCTGTTGCATTCCTGTATGCTTGCAGTGTGCCTGTATATGTATGATGTGGACTTCTAGCAGATAGGTGCCAGTCGGAAAATGTCCATGAGCATGACAGGGCACAAGTTGATGGACTCCCATCGCGGCCGCAGAGATGAAGCCTTGGTCATGCTGCTGGTCTTGCCGACTCTTGTTTGGAGCTCACCGCTCTGGGACTTTTTACATGCTGAGCTTGCAACATGCCTGCAGGGACTAGGCACTGTGATAAGACACTTCCATCTTGCGGCGCAAGGGCATGCCAGGTCGGGGAGCATGCACCGTTCGAGAACACGGCCGACAACCCAGAAACTGCCCGCGGGCACAAGTGTTTGCAGAGAGACAGGGCTACAGATGCTTCCCACTTCCCTCAACAGTCTGCATCGCATCCCCGTGCCAAACACGCCGTAGTACTGAGGTTTGGCAGTGCATCGAGTCGGCTTCCATTGCCCCGAGCTCAGGAACTGTCTTGTAGAATCTAGGCGCAGTGCAATTGGACGCGAGAGCTCAGCGTAATGCTTCATCTACTCACGGGCGCAACTCTCCCCCTTTCCGTGATTCTAGGTTGAAGCAGCCCGCGCTATCGGGTCCACTGTGTGGCGAGACTCCTCCCTTGACATGTAGGGTTGGTCTGTACTTTGCTTGAGTAGGCTATTTCGAGCCGATGGTTTACTTTTGATGGTTTGTGCATTGATTGATGGCCAGAGCACCTCAGGCCTTGAGTGTTCCCGTTCGGCCCATCTTCGCGGGTGCCTACTACGGCTGCAGAGGACCTTGGTTGAGCCAAGACATTTGCGACTCTAGCGTAGTCAAATCTTCAGCTTTGTTGAACGAGCACGGTCGTCAAAGTTGCTGGTGAGCGATGCTTACTTGCTGCAACCGCTTTGAAATGACCCCGCGGTGTGACTGAGTCCTTCAGCGTTGAGATTTGAATGTATGAAGTGCCGGCACGGCCGGATGTTGCAAGTGTTCAGAAGATTGACACCCTTTGCAAAGAGGTGGCAATTTGCATGTACTTCTCTTTAAGTCTGTTTTGGTCCCTCGCAAGGACTTCCCAGTGCCTGTGCACCGGACTCGACGAAAGACTGGTTTCGGGCGTGGATGCAGAGGTGCTGTACCTTTGGGTGGTGAGGATTGATTCCAATTCGTCGATCGCTGGTATTTAGGAGTAGTAGCGCCTGGCCGCATGCCGTCGAAGCCTGTCACGATGGCTGCGTGACAGAAGACTTCGGAAGTTGTTCTTAGTTTGTACAGTCGAGGAGCCCATACCACTGGAAAGCCTCATGTCCTTCAATGTGTAATACAAGTACAGCTGTGTAGCAGTTTCCGTTCATGCTTCCCAGGAGAATCGACCGTCAATAAAGCACAAAAATCTTCCAGGTGGCCGAAGCAGAGCGAATCTGCATTGGAGGCCCGACTGGCTTGCCGCGATGTTGAGGCAGTGTTGAATCATTCAGCTCAGGCCGACTTCTGGAACACTGTTGCGAGCAAACAGAGGCTTACTTGATTCCGAAAAGATGGAAGCCTAAGTTTCTCTTTTCATCCAAGTCCAATCCGTGCCGCGCCGGTCAGGGCGTGCAGGCCGAGGCAGATGGGCTCTTTGAGGCACGGAAAGCAGGGATCTTTGATTTGACTCCTGCCTGTGCCGATGCTCTGTGCACTCCGGAGCTCGAGTCGCATCGCATTCCTGACCACGCGCAAGCGAAGATCCTGCTTCAAGTGGCCATTCCGATCTGGGGTCAGGGTCCAGGGCGCCATTGCCCCGATGTATCCCTTGAATAACCCGAACTCCGATATCCCAGAGGCCATCAAGCGACATCCGGATCCGCAGGCTCAGCGCCATGCAATGCTCCATGATCTGTTGTAGGCTCGGAAGTGAAGGCTGAAGGTTCAGGGAGCCCTTTCCAGGCAGAGGGACGGACATCACGTGTTCCCGTCGAAGGCTGCCCGTCCGGATATTCTCTTCTGTGGGGACACCGTGCTGCCGCTTGGCGTGGTGCATGACATCGACCCTGTTTGCAGCATTCCTCTCCAACCGACAGATCAGCTCTGCTTAAATGCCAGGTATGCCAGGACAAAGCCCTCAGCCCGGAACCTTGAATCCCAAGTCTCAAGGTTCTGTTGGCTCCTGCGCCGGCGCAGTCTGCTGGCCCGGCGGGCCGGTTTCCACGAGCTCCCTTCGCACGGACCTCATGAATCGGAATCAGGGTTGCGGTGTCCCGTGTTTGGGTCTCAGCAATTGGCGATTGGGCCGGTAGTTGATTCGACTTGCCGGGTTAGGGCGAAGCGTTCTGTTTAACATCGTGGCTGTTGGCATTTCCGAAATCCGGGGACGAAGCTTTGGGACTCGTTCTATCCGTTTGCGGACCTCGGTGCTCGCGACCTTTCGAAGCTTTCATGGCTCGGAGCATGCGCGCGACAACTTTCTCACGGGTATGCCCTGTAAGTTATGAGTGCGTCAAAGCCTACATTCCTGTCCGGTTCATCGTGATGGCAGTACAGTACTTGTCGTGCGCATCCCCATGCAGAAAGAGGGTGAACATCCATGGTCTAGCGCTACAGGAGGAAAGAGTCAGTCCGACAAAGGTATGGTGTGACAGAAGCCGAAGGATCTGCAAGCGAATAGCTAGTTAAAACCTGTATTCCCCCACGCCCGGTACCAGAAAGCCTAGCAGCCCGAAGCCGCAAACCTGACTGTGCAATGTCACCTGTTGGGTCATATCGTTGTACCTCGCGCACATCTCCGCCCACACAACCTTTCGTCTCAACTCCGAGGCTCCATGTCTATGGCATGGTCTTCCTGCAGTATGTTCCGCCGATGTGGAGACTTGAGATGTTGGAGGTCTTGCGAGCTGTCCTGCATACAAAATTTAAAATCTTTTGGAGCCTGAGCCCTCAACTCTGCAGGATTTCGCGAATTGGTGGCTCCTTGAACGCAGCCCCGTCCGGGAGCCGGCCGGTGTCCAGATCGAGGCGTCGTGGTCGCGGTTGGATCTTGGAGTTGACTCTGTTGGCGCTGAGGTCTTTGCTTCAAGAGCTTCGGGCACGTAGCATTAGTTGAGCTTTCAGCTCAACTCCTTAAGTCTTGGTCCAGAATCCATCCTTAGCCGCAAACTTTCGTCTAAAGACCATCACAAGCCTCTGAGGCATTGGGCCTGCAACTCCAGTGGCAGATGGGCATCGCCCTACCTTTTGTGCCTAGCCACTCTCATGCAGCTGAGGGGATCTGTAGACTGGTGTTCAGGTTTTGTTTCATCTCATGTCTTGCAATATTTCACTGATGAGGTCGAGATAAGCACCGTCCGTGCTCGTTCACGTGTGTGTGTGTGTGTGTGTGTGTCGTCAGTCAGGACTGCCTCCAAGTTTGCATAGGGCATGTGTGACGGAGGGGACCGCCTCCGTCAGAAGTTGAGACTCAATGCACCGACACCCAGGCACAGGCACGTCGGATTCCGCCGGAGTTCTCTACCATGCTCCCCGGCCAGGCCTTCTGCGAATCGCTCTGGCGATAGTACTGATGCCTGTCCGGGGCTAACCGGGTCCTTTCCGTTATGGAACCGGGTCCTAGGATTTATGTTGCTGACATGAGTGACATGTAAGAACACGTGTATATAGGACATGTGTTGCTGACATGATGGACATGTAAGAACACGTGTATATAGGACACGTGTTGCTGACATGATGGACATGCAAGAACACGTGTGATGGACATGTAAGAACACGTGTATATAGGACACTTGTTGCTGACATGATGGACATGTCAGAACACGTGTATATAGGACACGTAAAGCAACATGTCTGATGTCGTGCTGAAGGGGGGGGGGCAGGACGGAAAACAAATGCAACTACTGCAGCAACATTGGGCCTACGTCATGTGTGTTCTTGTGGCTCTATGGAAAGAGCGAGATGCTGGACATGTATAAAAAGATGTGTGCTTGTGGCTCAATAGAAAAATCAATGCCTGAAAAACTTGGTTTGTTCGAAATGTGAAAACATGTACATCGAAAAATCAAAGCCATACTGACATAATTGCCTGTCCCAAGTTTTGTAGTTCACATGGAATTTCTTTGTTGCAAGATATTTTTGAAGTTATTTTGAAGATTCGTTTGTGCCGAGCAAACCAAACAAATGCAACTTGGTGTTCTTGTGGCTCAACGAAAACAAGAAGCTTGAGATTTTGTGTTCTGAAACCCTAAAGTCAGCTTTTTGTACGATTCACAACGACTTGAAAATTAGTGTGTGTGTGTTCATGATTAAACATGAAGGGAATCTAAGCTTTCGTAACGTCCAGCTCATGCCCTAAACCCTGGACCCTAAACTGTAATCCCACCCAACCCCCAAACCCGCCCACCCACTCCTGCAGGTAGGTATAGATAAGTAGATAGGCAGGAGGGAGGTACTTGTAGGTCTAGGTGCACCGGCAGGCTTCCAGGTCTCTAGATAGCTAGGTAGGCGGGCATGTAGGTAAGGAGGCATTGATCAGGAAAGAAGTTTAAAGGTAGCAGGCAAAAGTAGTTGTAATTAGGCATTCGCGCAGGCTCTGTCAGGATGTCAGGTCGCCACATCAGAGGTCTTCGGAGCCCCGTGCAGGGGCGTACCCGCACCAAGCCCTTGAAGGGGCTGCGGGATGAACCCCGAATAGGGGTGAGCTTGGACCCCGAACAGGGGTCGTCGGAGCCCCGTACAGGGGTGTGGATGAACCCCGAAAAGGGGTGAGCCTGGACCCCGAACAGGGGTCGTGAGAACCCCGTGCAGGGGTGTGGATGAACCCCGAACAGGGGTGAGCTTGGACCCCGAACAGGGGTCGTTAGAGCCCCGCACAGGGGCGTCCGATGAACCCCGAAAAGGGTGAGCCTGGACCCTGAACAGGGGTCGTGAGAACCCCATGCAGGGGTGTGGATGAACCCCGAACAGGGGTGAGGATGAACCCCGAGCAGGGGTGAGCCGGATCCTCAAAGACAGATGCAGAGAGAAAGAAGAGAGAGAGAGAGAGAGAGAGAGAGACAGCGAAAATAATTAACGAAGCAAGGAAGGAAGCAAGGAAGGAAGGAAGGAAGCAGGGAAGGAAGCAGGGAAGGAAGAAGGAATGATCAAGATGAGGGTGTGACTGTAGATGCGAGGAATGAGCAGGCAGCAAGGAGTGATGTGAGGGAAGGAAGAGGCAGGAAAGTCATGCATGGATTCAGTATCTCTCTGCTCACTTTCCGTCTGTCGCCGGCCAACCAGGCTGAGACAGTCTGCGCATCGAGATCCTCGAAGAGCCCCGGCCTAAGCCACACCAAGACTTGACTGCTGCACCGTCGGTTGCTTCCAAGCTCAACATGTTGGACTGCAGCAGCTTTTCATCTCAAGATTCAAGGAAATCGCACCGTTTTTTCTTGGCGCCACTAGCGCCATGACTGAGCAAGTGTACACCGACGCGGAATGGGCGGCTTGGCGTCGAAGTCAAAACCCTGCAGGAAGCCACCAAAACCCTGCAGGAAGCCACGACGACACAGAGACGGACCCAACGAAGCAAGGCTTCACAAAGGAACTCCGACCCCTTCCGGATGAATGGAAAGTTGAGTGGAAGAAAGCTGAGAAGAACAAGCAGCACTCAGCCAATGACTTCAGCGGTATCAGGCGCCTCTGCAACAGAAGGTTGCAACAGATGTACAACCAATGGAAGAATGAGGTGGAGCTCACGGAGAAGCAGGATTCGGCTATCAACAAGCTCGCCATCTTGACGCATAACAAGGACCGCATGGAAATCGATCGCTTGAGGGAGGTTGAGAAGGAAGCGATTTGGACGAAGAAAATGTACGAGACGAAGATTGCGGACGACAATAAGAAGCACGAGGCCGAACTGGCAGCTGTAAAGAAGAAAGGCGAGGACATGCTGGACGAACTGGAGAACACGCATGAGAGAAACAACCAGGAAAGGGCTAAGAGGCTGTCCATCACGGAAGATACGTACAGGTACAAGTTCGAGGATAGCCAGAAGGAGATGAAGGTACTGACTGCCATGTATGAGAACAAAATCAAAGAGATGAACGCCGAGCACCAGGCACAGATGGCGAAAGAGAAAGAAGAGAACAAGAAAAAGTTCGACGAGAAGGTTTCCAAAGCCCAGACGGACATGACAAACAAGTTCAAGAGCAGGTTGAAGAGGCTCGAGGATGCACAGGTCAAGTACAAAGAGAAAGTCCTCACTGCAACGGGGCTTTGGAGACAGACACTGGCAAGGAAAGAGGATGAGGTCCTGCGGCTCCGGCTACGACTCCGCTTGCAGGAACCCGCGAGCTCGGCGCAGCAAGACAACGAAGAGAAGCTCAAGGACAGTAAGGCTTGGCCCGACAGTTCATTTGTCAGTTGTTCAGTCAGTGAAATGCGCATCTCTGACAGGAGAGTTTGCATCCCACGTCCCCGACGGTCGTTTTCACCCCGACCTCTCCCGCACGCAGCCCGAGCCTTGGTTTCATCACCGCAACCTTGTGCGACCCCAACTTCGCACGTTCCAGGTAGTGACGAGTCCGACTCTGACTTCGATCGGGAAGGAAAGCGATCCCGCTCGCCCAGATCCGACAGGACGGATTATCGCAGTAAGCAGTGAGACGGAATAACGGATTTCATAACGTAGCTGATGGCTCTGATCGTGACATCCCCATGGATTCGAGTCTTAACCAAAACAATCTGACATCTAGTGATTCTGAATCCGCTTACAGTTTCAAGAACACGACGAACTCCATGGTTGATGCGGCGGCACAGGGGCATGGGCCCGGTGGCCGTGTGAAGTTCCTAGAAAGACTTAGGACTTCTGACTGGATGGGTCATGAAGCCAAGAGCAGCATCGGAAAAAGTCGCATGCATCAGGGACCATTCCTGCATGACAACCCCGCCTCCCCCCCCAAACCACCCACCACGAACCGGTCCCCCAACCAATTCCCGCACCCCTGATTCACACCCACCCACCGTCACCCAGCCACCTAACCGCCCCACCCATCCATCAACCACCCACCGAGAAACCCACCCACCCCCCCCAACCCCCCTGTGCTGGGCGGCCTGTTCGGTGCTTGCACTTAAGTGACAGACACTTCTTAAACACGGTGGGTGGTGATGTCTCTGACACGAAAGGTCAACGTATTCCTCGAGACCTACAAGCAGGACCGACTGCCCCATGGAAGATCCGCAACAGCAAGAGCGACATTGTCGCTCTTGCTGTTGCGGATGTGTGGTGCAGGTCGAAAGCGACACGACCTGCACTAAGGTGCAAGAAGGCCTTGACGGTGGCTACATCATCCCAGAAGGTTCATGGTGCAGGACTGGTAGGTACCCGCTCCTGCACCTTGAACCTACTGGGATGATAAAGGGGACATGCTGACTGGAGGCTGGGAAGTGGCACGTCTTGAGCTCGGCGGTGATGTCTCTAGCACGAAAGGCCTACGTACTCCTCACCTAGAAGCGCGACGGACGAGCACACCAACATGCTCACTGGTCACTGGAGGCTGGGCAGTGCCACTTTTAAGCTCGTGCTTCAGACGGACATGACAGTTTCAGGAACAGTGCGGCATGTGCAGTCCATGGCTGTGTGATGCTGTGAGTGTGCGCCCGTCTGACAGCAGAACTATCTCAAGCTTCCCAAAGGAGTACACTTTTCATAGCCCTTTGCATCATGGTGGAGCTCACGGAGGTGTTGCTCGCTTTGGCAATTGTAGCCATTGGCTACATGTACAGCATACAGCAGAACCAGCAGAACAAGAGAAGGGCCAAGCAGGAGGAGGACAGCGGCAGCGAAGAAGAGATCAGGCCCAGGAGGAGGAAGGCCAGGGCCAGTCTCATGGAGGAGGACAGCGGCAACGGGAGGTCAGACCGCAATAATGACAAAAAGCATACGGCCACAGCACAACCACAAGATCCAATAGAACCAACACAGCAGGAAAGCAAGCCCAAAGATGAAGCTGGCAAGGATCCGCCAAAGGGAAGCAAGCCCAAAGATGAAGCTGGCAAGGATCCGCCAAAGGAAGCCAAGGATTTGGAGCCCGAGAACTTCCAGGAACGTGCAGAGGCCGCGGTCCAACGCATGGTGGCCGCCGTTCACACTATGCACGGATGTTTGCAGAAGGTTCAGAGCTCCGAGACGGAAATTTCCTCGTTAGGGGACAAGATGAAGAACATCCTCTTGGAGATAGCCGAGCTGAGACAGAAGCAAGAGGAG